CGGTGATGTAGTAAGCCCCTGTATGAATCCTCAGCACCACTAAAAAGAGGAGGGAAAGAAAGAAAGGTATAGGTGGTGCTAGTATCCCTAGCAATCATTGGTTCCTAGAGTATTCTTTGGCAAACACTGGTCTAATCTGACCAGTTATGGATTAAGAGTCTCCTTAGAGCCTGTTCAGGGAAGAATGATAGAGGAACTAGCATCTCAAGGAACAAAAGGCCTCAGGATTTTGGAACATCTCTAGTGATTGAACAAATAAATCGACGCTTTGTTTCCTAAGTCTTTCACCAGGCACCTGTGTCCTTTTGAAACAAGAAACAAATTCAGATATAGACATGTCCTTTGTAGATCTTTAAGGGGTTTCTGATCCTTAAGGAGCCTAAAGGGCAGGCTCGAATGTTGGTTCATAAACAAGCATAAGCCCAAGAGCAGGAGTCGAAGAGTCTACAAATAGGGAATTTCAGTGGTAAAGCAATAGTGGTATACAATCAACCACTCACATTTGTACAGTGTTTTCCAAAAAACAACTAAATGCTGTTGCATCATCTCATTTAATCCTTGAAACAATCTAGTAAGGAAGATAATGGAATTATTATCCCCAGTTTATGGAAGAGGAAACTGACTTCAGAGTAGTTAAATGCTTTGCCTTTGCTTATATAGCAAGTTAATTATTATTCCAACTTTCTCAAAAATTTCAATTTTGCCATATGTAAAATGAGGAAAAGAAATAGTGCTTTTGTAGTTGTATCAAATGGGATATTTGCTAAGTATTTAAGCATAGTATCTGGCACAGACTCAATGAAAGGCAATAAAAATTGATAGAGCTGGTGAAAAGCCCAATGCCCCAATTTTGTCCCAAAGCAAGAATGAAAAAAACCCTACTCAGTCCTGTTCTCTTCTGTGTACCTATTCTCCTCCTCCTCCAACCATAAGCCAAGAACAGCAGGCTAGAAGGCAGCACACTAGACTTTAGTGTCAACTCCATCAGTTGTCACAGTAATTATGTGATTTAAGGAAAGAAGTTTAATTTCCTTGAGGCATTTTTCCTTATTGAAACATAAAATTAGTGATACTTTGCTTACTCTACTTGGTTGCTGTAAGGATCAAATAAGTTTATGGAATTTACAGTACTTTATGACAGTCAGGTGTAGCACACAACTCTAATTCCATCATTCAGGAGGCTGAAGCAGAAGGATTTGCTGCAAAGTTCAAGGCCAGTCAGGGTAAGACCCTTTCTCAAAAAATTGAGGGTGGGATGCACAAGATGGCACTTGTCACGAAGCCTGATGCCTTGAGTTAGATCCCCAAGACCCACATCGTGAAAGGAGAGCACCAACTCCTGAAAGTTGTCCTCTGACCACCACACGCTCATGCCCACACACATACACAATTAATTAATTAACTTTAAAATTTTAAATATGAAGTACATACGAAAACTGTGAAACAGTATATAAATATGAGGGGTGACTCCCCCCCTTTTTTGAGACAGAGTCTCCCTGTAGGCCCAGCTGGCCTATAACTCACTATGTAGACCAGGTTGGCCTTGAACTGCCTCCCAAGTCCTGGGACTACAGGCCCACCACCACACCCAGCCCAGAGGGGTGACCCTTTTTATCTGCCATAGACTATCAATATTTTTACCAGTAAAAAGCAACTTTATCTCCAAGTTTTTTCTCATGGACATTTCGATCCAGCACATTGTAGCAGATGTTGGTAGTGGCTCCTTTCATCCATTCAGTGAAGATTTTCCCTTTAGTCACATCAAAGTTGTACTGGAGGAATGGGCCAGGGCATGGGGTCTTCCAGTAAAATTCTTTGGCAATGTTTCCCCAAAACTCTGCAACAAAAAGAGATGTACACACATCACTAAGTGTCTCAAACTTATTTATCGTCAGATAGATTGGATTACTAGTGTATGAACAGGACAAAGTTACAATTACCCTACCTAGGACTCATTATCTGTCTAATTTTATCACCAATTATTCTCCTACCTACAGTCTATTCCCACAGGCCGAATCTTGATTGTTCCTTCTATACTCAAAACTGTCTATCCAGAGTTGAAGTAGTGGCACATGCCTATAATCCAAACACTTGGGAATTGGAGCCAGGATTATCAGGAGTTCAAGACTAGTCTTATCTACATAGCAAGTTCAAGGCCAACATGGAATACTGGAGACCCTGTCCCCAGCACCCCCAGTGTCTATCCAGTTTTTGATGCCTATTCAAATCACAGCCATGTGGTTTCTAGCACAATAACTAGTACACAGGAGGCTATCAGTACATTTTTTCATGAACTATTAATGAGAAGAAATTCTTTACCCATAGAGTTGTAGTGATCATCTTTCTTCTTGTTTGCTTATCCTCTCCTAGTTATTCACTGACCATCTCCTTCCACAGCTATCTGTACCAGTGCCAGATGTTACTTGAAGCTATGTATATGTATTGTTCATTTAGTCTTCCCCCAACCCTAAGAGGTATGCATTAGTTTCATTCTCATCTTGTAAGGCTTGAGACATTAAAGAACTTATGTAAAGTTTCACAGGTTACTAAGTGAAGATTTTAATTTTCTTGAGAAGACATTTTTGCTAAAGTCCAAAGAAGAATAAGAGGCTTTTTGAAAACTCTCTGACCAAATCAGCACTACTGTGGTATGAGAGGGAATCGGGTTTATATTAAGAGAAACTAAAGACTGAAACACTGAGAATAAAGAAAATAACTGCAGAATTGATTCATAACTAGGCATATTGGGAAAAGACAGAACATAATTGAAAGCTAAATCACATAGTATACAACCTTTCAAACTATTAAGGAAATAAAAATTAAATCAACCCAAAGTGCCATTATATACTCTTAAAACTAGCAAAGATTAAAAATTAAACCTGATGCTTAGGCTACATGAGATCTGTCTGGAGAGATAGGAACTTTTTTTTTTTTTTTTGGTCTTTTTGAGACAGGGTCTCCCTGTAGCCCCAGCTGTCCTGGAACTCACTATGTAGACCAGGCTGGCCTCAAACTCACAAAGATCTGCCTGCCTCTGCCTTCCAAGTGCTGGGATTAAAGGCATGTGAGAAACAGATAGTTATACAAAAACAGTACTATAAAAATGTCTGGCAAGAACTATAAATTTTTTTTAATCCTTTTATTTGTTTATGTAATTTTGGAAATATACTCTACGAAAATAATCCCAAAGGGTGGTGGCATTACTAAACAGATGTTTATATCAACACTATAATAGTGAAAGTAGAAAAGGTGGTATATGACTCTAGTCCTAGCACTTGGGAGGTTGAGGTTGGAGGATTAGGGGTTCAAGGTCAGCCTCAGCTACACAGGAAACTGAGTCCACCCTGGGCTCAGTCAGTAAAGTGCTTGCCACACAGGCATGAGGATCTGGCACCATGGCACATGGAAAGGTGGAGTTGGCTCCCTAGGACTTGCTGGCCAGCCAGTCTAACCAATTTGGTGAGCTCCGAGCCAATAAAAGATGTCTCAAAGGAAGTGGATGGTGTTCCTGAGAATAACACCCATGGTTCCTCTTGTAACACACACACAAACACTCACACACGTGCACGCAAACTCATACACCTGTGTGTGTTCACACTCAAAAACATGCACATACATATTAAAACAAATTGTGAAACTAGAAACAACTCAAAGCCCAGCAATTAAAAATGGGTGAAAACTATCTGTTACTATTTGTAAGCAATACAAATAGTAACAGAATACTGAACAGCCATTGAAGAGAAAACAAACGGAGAGTGGCATTGAGTGAAGGCCATTCCTGTATAAGGACTGAACTAATTTCTTTGACTCTTTATGACATTGTTATATCATAAAGATTAACTAAATTGTATGAAGTACATTATCCTAATTTTATTATGAGAAAACTGAAGCTCAGTAAACACAGGAAACACTCCCTAAGGACTATAAAGCTGATAATGAGTCTACAAATCCTCCAAATACTTTAAGTAATAATAGTAGACATTGTACAAAACTGTTTATGAACACTTATGTTTATCAACAAGGAATGACAATAAAACCTAGTTTACGTTCAGTTAGTTTAGTTTGTGTTTGCTTTTTACGGTGTGTGTGTGTGTGTGTGTGTGTGTGTGTATTTGAAGGTTTTCAAGTACTGAAGTTCAGAAGAGGAAAGAAATGAGCATGGATTACAATGATCAGAGAATGTGCTATAGGACTGGTAGAGTTGGGGTAGGTGAACAGGAGCAGGAGGAAATGGGCAAAGGCAAGGGCATTGGAAGGGACCTGTGTGGATCCAGGATGTGAAGGAGAATGACCTGTCTAACATGAGGACTGTGATAAAGGATAGGAGAGATACGGTTGAAGAGGTAAGGGGAAGCTAGGTTACCCAGAGGCCTTGAAAGAAAAGCAGAAATTTAATTTCAACTATACAAGAAGGGAAAAGGTTTTCAGAAGTCAAACATGGTAGCACTTGTTTATCATCCCAACACTCAGGAGGGAGAAGTTAGACGATCACAAGTTTTTAAAAAATATTTAATATTTTTATTTTTTGTATATGAGTGTATTGCCTGCATGTAGGTAGGTGCACTGTGTTGTGCAATGCCCATGGAGATCAAAAGGGGGCATCAGACTCCCTGGAACTGGAGTTACAGGTAGTTGCCAGCCATCATGTGAGCACTGGGAATTGAACCCTGGTCCTCTGCAAAAGCAGCCAATGCTCTTGGCCAGTGAGCCATCTCTCCAGCCCTGATCATCACAAGTTTGAGGCAGCCTCCTACATAGCAAGACCCATAAAAGAAAGAAAGAAAGAAAGAAAGAAAGAAAGAAAGAAAGAAAGAAAGAAAGAAAGAGAGAAAGAGAGAAAGAGAGAAAGAGAGAAAGAGAGAAAGAGAGAAAGAGAGAAAGAGAGAAAGAGAGAAAGAGGAAAGAGAGAGAGAGATAGAGAGAGAAAGGAAGGAAGGGAGAGAGGGAGAGAGAGAGAGAAAGAAAGGAAGGAAGGGAGAGAGGGAGAGAGAGGGAAGTGAGGGGATTGGAAAAAGGAAGAAAATAGAAGAGAAAGAGAGAAAGGAAGAAAAAGACAGCAAGCAAGAAGAGAGCCGGGTGTTGTGGTGCACGCCTTTAATCCCAGCACTTGGGAGGCAGAAGCAGGTGGATCTCTGTGAGTTCAAGCCCAGCCTGGTCTATAGTGAGTTCAGGCCAGCTGGGACTAAAGGGAGACCCTGTCTCAAAAAGACCCAAAAAAAGGCCGAGGAAAAGAAAGAGAAGAAGAAGGAAGATGGGTTTCTGCAATGGCGTAAGAAAGCAGTGGCTGCAGATTATCAGTCTAACAGTGTTTAACTCTCTGGAGAGCCTGAAGTTGACAAGGGAGGGGACAAATTAGGAGACAGCTTCTTGTTCCCTTGATCTAAAGCATCTGTGGGAATGGAAGAAAGGGTCAAGCTAAGAGGCATCTTGAAGGAATCTTTGACAGAATTTGATGAAAAGCACACTGGGCCTACATAGTGCGTTCTAGGTCAGCTGGGGTTACAGGGAGACTCTGTCTCAACACCCCCCCCCCAAAAGAGTATAGTTTATGCTGGGCATGCACACCTTTAATCTCAGCACTCAGGAGGCAGAGGCAGGCGGAGCTCTGTGAGAGAGAGGCCAGCCTGGTCTACACAGCAACTTCCAGGCCAGCTGGGGCTACAGGAAAACCTTGCCTCACATCGCTGCTAAGGCTCCTGTTTGAGATTTAAGCATTCATTATAGCTGACCCTGTCTCAAAAAAATAAAAATAAAAAATAAATAAATAAATAAAACTTTTGTTGGTTTGAATGCCAACTCCATCATTGATGGGCTTTATGACTTTGTAAAGTTAGTTGATCTCTCTAAACTTCAATTTCCTTCTCTGTGAAATGTGTTCATGTTTAGTAAGCAACAAGGAGTGTATA